GGGGGGCGGCGGTTGGGTGATGTAGACCTTGTTCTCTCCCTATATTTCTGCCCAATCTGATAATTCTTTTGTCATGCAATATAAAAGAAATTTATAGCTAGAGGACTCACTTTTAGTTGTAAATAAAGGCAAAGATATAGTTTTGACAGCATATGCCTTATATAACAAAATAACCCCAACCCAACAAAAAACAAAGAAAACAAAAAAACAAAACCAACAAATCCAACACATGCCTTTATAGTTTTATTTCCATCTTTGAAGATAGTATGGAGAGAATAGCTTCTTTCCTATAATACAGACTGCTTGGTAATTTTCAACCTGTTTCCAGCATTAATTTTTTTCAACAGAAAAGAAAAGCAAAGGACCATAATCAGGAGAAAGTATTAAGGCAAAGCACTATATATAAGACATCTTCCCTGCCAAGCTGTTTTTAAACTGCTCTAGGACTTATTCCTGAACTGGTGCTTCCAGTAGCCTGTAAAATAATTACTGTGTTTTATTTCTCCTTAATATACTAAGGTACAAGAGATAATTTTCAACACTTCCCTTTTCTCATATAGAAAATGCCTAAGCAATATCTTGCAATATGAAATTATGAGAATCTCAATGAGAAAAAGAATAATATTTTAGCCTCTGGTGACCTTAAGTAAGTAATGGATGCATATGAAAATTACAGGTGCTAAAATTCTCTGTTGCTGATTTCTATTTTGCAGGTATTACTATGATGGAGACATGATCTGCAAGGTGCAAGGCAAGAGGTTTGTGTACAAATTTGTGTGTGACCTGAAGACTCTGATTGGGTACAGCGCAGCAGAGCTGAACCGCTTGGTCACGGAGTGCGAGCAGAAGAAGCTGGCCAAGATGCAGCTCCATGGCATTGCACAGCCAGTTACAGCAGTGGCACTGGCTACAGCATCCCTGCAAGCAGAGAAAGATAATTAAACATTGGGACCTGTAAGTGGGAACCCGAGGCCTTTCCTCTATAAGCAGGATATATAAGCAGTTGGATCAAGCTCTTACCTTGATCAGAATTGGAAACGTCTTTTGTTTCTTAATTGTACAATATAGAACATGAATTTCTATAAAGAACTCAGACATGCATAAATTTGGATCTTTTAACAGCATATATTTTAATGTAAGTTAAAGGATTACCCCAACTTCTGCAGCTAGTGAGAGGTGGAGCCCATGACCACAGCTGTGCAAAGTAATTTCTGCAACACTTCTAACAAAAATTAAGTCCCTGTAGTCCCCAGGCTGATCAGTTCTGTGAATGCAGCCTTTTCCAGTCTTTTGTTCTCTGCTGAACTACCAAATCGCATTTGATGCTTTCAAAGTTTACAATATATTCATTATTCTGTTAATCAAGTGGAGCTGAAAGACATGTTAAATGTTACAAAGCATCAAGTTCTTAAAATAGCTTCTGTGTTTAAAAGCAAAGGAAACTTAAGTTGAGACTTAACTGGAGATCAGTGCTGAAGAAGAAGATCCAGGTTTAGATATGGCTTAGGTGAAAAGCCAGTTATGAGTATTTCATTGTAGTATGCACATAATATACATATATGAGGGCAAATACCTGTTTTGAGATACATACTTGATATTAGCCATTTCACAGAAAGCAAAGGTGAACTTCTTCCCCCCATGCCATTCCCCATCAGGTAATTAAAAAACTTGAAAAAACAGCCCTCACCCAAAGAGTAGATTGTTTTGGTGGGGAGTATTAATGCTGTGTTCTGCAAGGTGCTTATACCTACATGGTAGTTAACCTTAGTATCCAAAGACTTAAGTTAATCACAGTCAGTAGTCCCTGGTTAGGAACAGAAAGCAAATTGAAAATAGTTTTACAGAGAACTGTGGTTTCATTTCCCAATCATTGTACAGTCTAACGTATATTAACTACAAAGAGGTACTTTTTATTTAAAATTAAATTCTCTTTGAACTTCAAGTGATATTTTTAAAGCTACTTAAGCCAAATGCATGCTCCAGAGCTGGGTGCAATTTGAAGTCTGGATGTTGAGTCAGAAATAGTTGGGATGTATCCTGAATTCTGAGCTACTCAGTGCTTCTTGCAAACTTACACATGCAGTAAAAAGTCGGCTTCAGCTTTTGAGTTTCCATACTGGCATCTCTTAGACTGCTTCTTTTGATGTCTGAGAATGGTATGATTTGGGGGTTGCTTTTGCCTCTTCCTGCTAATAAACAGTATAATTACTATGTCAGCATTGATGTTCACCAACTTTTTATAAATTAAACCCCCTCTGGTTACACTTAATAATTACAAGGGAAGACCTTTAATTCTGTTAGGGATCGAGCTACTCTTAAACCTTAAATCTGAAGTCCTTGAACAGTGAGATTCTGAACAAAGTGTGTTTGTGCTGAGCAGTGAGAGCACTGGGCTGCTGCTCTTGAGTCGAGCAGAAATGGTTACACTTGCAGGCAGAAGGCAGAGAATACAAAGACTTCAGTGTATCCTAAAGATGTGTTGAAGACAAGGGTTTTTTTGTAGGTGGATGCTCATCTGCAAATAGTTTTTGCTTGACTAGAAGGTTTGCATATAGTTCTAACTTGTGTTTTTTCATCATTGACATGATTATAAAATCAAAGGTTTTTTGCTGGATTATTTCGGTAACTCTTACTGTTTTCTTCTTTGAGTTCTTACAGCACTCCATCTGCTGAGCATGCTGATGTCATTTTGCTTTCCAAAAAAATTGTAAGCCCTGAGCAAAAAATGTAAATGTATCTGTCATGAAAGGTCAACATCACCCCTTTTCTTGCTGTTAGAGTTGATGTCAAGTGTTGGAGGTGTCTTGTGCAGGAGATGCAGGTTTGCTTAACCAAGAATTATGTGAAGCTGATGTTTGAGGGCAGCAATTCCATGCCTAAACACAAGTCCAGTACAAGTCAGTAGTTCTGGTTAGCAGAGTTCTTGAGAAGCCTTTTTAGTTAAAATACCGGATAAAAAGAAAAGAAGCTTAAAATAACCAGCTTTCTATATCAAACTGGACTGTGGATAAACACACAGCAAAATTGAAAAGTAGTGTCAATACTTCATCCCCCTGCCTCTTCTTGTTACATGGTAAGGCCAATGGGGGAAACTTCTGCTCCCATCCTTTGTGATTGCATCCTGTTGTTGCTCTGCAGCCTTTCGGTAGGAGTAAAGGTCCTTGGGGTTCTTTGTTGTGGCTCCATCTGCTTTTCCACCATGTTCTAATTAGTAAAGAAAGAACCTTTCAAGTGGTATAAAATTATTATCATACTGTCTGTAGTTGAGGGAGAAATCTGTGACTAACTTGATGTCTTCAGTAAAACAAAAAATGTAGAATATATTGTCAAAGGATTTTCTGTTGCTGCCAGAAGGAAAACATAGAATATTCCCAATTTTTGTAAAACAGAAGGGGTTTTGCATACTTTTTACTCTTTAAATAAAGACACTTGTACTCTGCTAATTATTACAAATTTCTTTTGTGTTTTGCTTTTTTTTTTTTTGTAATTTTCCATGAAACAATTATTTTCTATTTTTACTCGGATAAAGTATTTGTGGATAAAATGTCAATATAGTAAAATAAAAATGTTATACAGCTAATTTGCCTTCTTAATTTTTCAGACATTTGTAATGTCTTTCAGGGACAAGCAGTTCAAAGATACATACCTGCCCTTTATTCTCTTTTCTCTTAAAGTCAGAAGCTCAGTACAGAAAGAAGGCAAACTCAGCTTATATTCTGAAGATGCATCTTCTTTGACTCAATATTTGCCTATGTGTTTCTACTTTTAATCTGTAACTCAGTGTCCTTTTTTTCTGTAGCAGCTTCCTTTAACATCTTAATGGTAAATCTCAGAATGGTGCTTAGATGAAACAAATGATGAAAACTCAGTAGTAGGACAGAATGGAGCCCTGTGAAATTATTCTGTTTATGCTTTTATCAGTGTTTAAATCAGAAGGGTTCATGTTGACCTGTAAATTTTGGACTTTTTCATTCCTGCAGATGGCCCCATTTACTTCATGTGGCTCTGCTAACAAAACTGCTAGTACTGTCCATATTAAAAACAAGATAAAATTCTGATTGTACTGCTCTTACTTTATTTCTACTGAGACACAATTTAATAATATTCTCATTATACTTCTGGACTGCCAAATTCAAGACTGAAATATTTTGTCATCTTTACACCTACCATATCACTTGATTTTAAAATGTTTATGTTTAGCTTAGCAGCAACAACATGTAATTGATGGAAAATACTGGTTTTCAGACATTTCAGTAACTTGTTGGACCTGATGATCTTAGAAGTCTTTTCCAACCAAAATTAATCTATGATTTTAAAGTTCACTTACTCTGGTATCATATTGATGGAGGAGGACCTATTATTTGGGTTTATAGCTATTAGTATAATTATCCAGTGTGACTTTCTTTTGGGATTCCTACCATACAGAAATTGTTATTGAAACAATGTAGGGAATTACAACTAACAGCTTGCAATGTCTTTCTTAATAAGCTGATGTGGGACTCTACTGCCTGATCAAGAAACTGTTACATGGTCCATTGGTTGTGGGGAATATTTTTACTGACTGGACTGGGGTGTCTTGTTCTTGAAGGTCATACATATTCTTAAAGGTTGTGGATTTAATATTGCTGTGTCAGGGCTGTTAAAATATATTTGGGTTAATACGGTTTAATTTTTTTCCTTTGGAAAAGTAATTCTTAATATGAATGATGCTAAACAAGAAATTAATTAAAGGAAAGGAATTAATGATTAACTGGTTTTGAGGGTTGTAACATGGAAGCCCGTGCATTAGATACATTATTGCTCCATTACGTTTTGCCTCATTATTTCATGATTGGAGCCCACAGAATCTAATCACGCACCAAACTGAAATTTTACCATCTTGCAGTTTTAGAGTATTGACATCTTACCCATTAATAACTTGAAATGAAGGTTAAAAAATGCTGAAAAAGGAGAAACAAATATTGTCTGATATTGCAGGGGTCTGATTTTAATTAAAATTGCCTTTTACTTGTGAAACTGGGCTTCTGAAAACCAAAATGAAATGCTTCTAGTGGCAGTTGTATCAGAAGGTGGGTCTGGAAGACGCAGAACAGATCTCATTTACTTTGAAAAGACAGAGGAATCAGTTGTTGTGTTTGTGGTTTGTGGCACACAATGTCCCTGTAACTTCTTTTTGTAGGTGGTGTCACTGTAACCAGCTGTGATGGGAAAAAAAAAAGAATCCAAAGAAGTAATTGATTGTAGTTTTAAGCAACTTAGTCGTGCAGCTACTTAATAAAAATGAAGTCAGTTTAAAAGAGAAGATAACTGTAAAGAAATTATTGGAATCCTCATGTAAATAGTTACCAGAAAAAGCTAAGAGCTAAGCTAAATAGAACATTGGTTTTCTATAGTCTATCAGTTTTTGACTTATAAAACAACTACTAGACAGAAAATATTTTAAAAGATCAGTTTTTAGTAATTTTCATGTTGCAGGAATTGAAATATTTGTTCAGAAAAAACAGAGAAAATGCTTGTTTAGTTTAGCACAACTTGGGGAGACTGACAGTTTGTCAAAATCTTCCATTTTGTCTACTGAATTGCTTCAAGTATTTGTTACTAATTATCTAAATGAGCTCACATAATAAAAAAATTACACTGTCCATCTATAATAGGCCTGAAATCTTACGGCTTTTTTTTCTTACCTCTTCCACCTGCCTTTTAACCTAAATGTTTGAAATTAGCATTTAGGAGCTGTATTTCTAGTCCTATGGGACCTGCCTCTCAGAATTCACTAATCAAGGTAGAATACCCCCATCTCAGTAGATGAAAAGCAAATTATAGGAATTATATATGAGTATAATCAATTACTGATTGTAGTGGGAGCAAACATGGATGGCACTAAAAAAATCTGTTTCTTAGAAGATTTATTGTTTATTTGAAATTCCTTCTGGTTAGGGAAATATAATTTAGGATGAAATAATGTGAATTAGCTGCTTCCCCCTTCATCCTGATAAGATTTGGTTTTTCAATATTCTCATTTTCAAGGACTCTGCAGGAGCAGCTTCATATTTTGGAACTGGTTTGCATAAACCTTTGGCTACAGAAGACAATGAGAAACCAGTGTGTTTTATACAAATCTTGTCAGGGTGAAAGCTGGAAACTATGCATGGAAAAAAATGAGTCTGGAAGAGTGAGAATACAAGAGATGAGATTTAATGAGATTAACTAGACATTAATTAGACACCTGCAGGTTGCCGTCATTTAAACTTCAGGGTTCAGATAGAAAATAGATTTATTTTTTCCTCCATGAAAGCAATGTTTTATTCCAGAAACTCAGAGCTGTGTTATTACCACATCCTATGGCAAGCCAGCCTGTTGTGCTTCAGCAAAAGTGCCCTGTGTTGAAATCTGTAGTACCCACTTCAATGTCCCCAGTGAGAGCAGTGAGAGGAAGGCTAGGAACAGTCAGGATGCAAACTTCACTGTGAAACTCCACTTGTTCTGCGAAAAGAGCTGAGGAGGCAGAACCAATGGGAAGCAATTTGGCTAACAACCATAAATTAATAAGATGACCTGAACTGTACCCAAAAAGGAAAGCTGTAACAGGAGCTTGACCTTGTCTTCAGACATAGTTCACTGAGCCTGAAGTGACATTGGTACAACTGAAAAGAAAAATAATCATCTGAGGGATAGCTACAGAGTGCAGGAGTTTTTATAGAGAAATTTGTGTCTTTCTTGCTCAACTGCTCATAAAAAGTTATGAGCACTAAACACAAGATCTGTGAAACTCAAGAGCTGGGCCAGTGCAACCATGCCCAAATTAAGTGTGCCCAGCTAGGAAAATGAAGTGTAGTAATTCAGCCTTTTTGCAACAGACAGAATGATGTTACAGACTGGCCACTTGCTGAACACTGCTCAGCTGCAGAAGCAGGAAAAAAACAAGGAGCTATTATTCCTGGGCCTGCTTGTGTCAGGATGGAAAAGCCTCAATTATTTTAGAAAACAGGTTTCAACAACTAGTTTAATTGTTACTCCTCTAATATTTTGTCAAAAGGAGGGTAGTTCTTCAAGGAGAGGCAGTAACCAGACAGACCATAGTATCATACCAATAGCTGGTTTAGGGTTCTAAACTGGCATTAAACTGGAAATAGCAATATGAATTCATTTTATTAAAACCAGGCAGGTGGCAATAGAGTTTTGCCTTAGACCAGAAGGCAATCTAGACCATATTGGTAAGTACAAAGAAAATAGATTACCTTTGCCTGGGTGTTCTGCCGAGGTAATCAATGGATGTTGTCCAAGACTGATTTGTGTTGAGGGGTCAAATATGTCCTGACAGAAAAATGCTGTTGCATGTTTATAAAGATACATAAATACATATATATAAAGAGCAAGGGCTGTCCCTCCAAATTTGCTTGGTCAGATAGTATTATGTGCTTTGGACTTCACCATGCAGTAGAGAAAGCTGAAATGAGTGAGTGCTTTAATTTTTTGTTTATTCTTAAGACAGACCTAGCTGAAGAGAGCAAATGGAGGGAAGAAATAAAAAGTTCCTTAGATGTGCAAAGCTGCTCAGAAATGCCACCTGTCAGGCTGGAGAAGTTATTAAATAGATCGCATATAAATGCAGGTACAGCACTGACAGTGGCTGAAGGTGCAGGCAAGCCAGAAGGAATGGAAACAGAGCATCACAGAAATAAAAATGCAGGGAAGCAAAGAATTGCCTGATTCAGCCCAAGCAGTTCTGAGAAAAGCTTAGTGAGAGCTGGAGCTGCAGGTTGGGAGCAGCCTGGTGTGCCAAAGGACTGTCTCCTCTTAGCTCCCTCTCTCCCAGAGCCTTTCTAACTAAACCAGATGGTGTCAGGGTAGTTCTTGGTTTTATTCTCACCAGCTGCTGACCGAAGCAACTGCCATTGATTATCCCCTTGGGCTGGGAAGTAAATAGATAAATTCAGTTTTTCCTCTTATAATTTTCATCAGTGCACACCTAGAAACATGTAATCTGTCATTATTTGTGTTTCGGTGAAGGGGCCTGAAAAACTTACCCTGATTAAACTTCGGGCATCCTATGCAGAATTGTTTTCAATATCAGCTAACAGATATGTCTTGTGAGCAGTGATCCTGGGGAGCAGCTTTCAACAGGCTATTGTATCACAGTGTTATTCAGTGAAGCATTTTAAATTACCAATTTAAGGATTTTGATCTTGAAGCCTTTGCCTGCTGGGGAATCTTGTATTTCATTTTTTTAACTGTATTTGGCCTTGTGATTACATAGGATGCACCTACAGCTGGGCAGAGGAGGGAAAAGGAAAAAAAAAGTTAACAAAGGATTCCTGAGTTGAGATAAGGACCAGCAGAAAACACTTAAAGGGCAAAACAGGCTCACCTTAAGTTACAAAGTGAAATTTATTACTAACAGAATCAGAAGAGGATAATGAGAAGTAAAATAAGCCCTAAAAACCACCGTTTTTCCTCCCCAGCCCCTCCCTCCTTCCCTCTGAGAGTGCAGGGAGACAAGGAATGGGGGTAGTGGTCAGGTCATCACCGAGATTTTCTTCCACTGCTCCAGGAGTAGAGTCCTTCCACTGTGAGGCCATGGGATCCTTCCCATGGGAGACATTTCTCTGTGAACTTCTCTGGGGTGGGTTGACTCTCATGAGCAGCAGCCATACCACACCTTCTGCAGTTTGAATTCCCCCATGGGCAGACAGTCCTCCCAAAACTGCTGCAACGTGGGTCTCTCTTCCACGGGGTGCAGTCCCCCAAGGACAGGCTGCTCCAGTCTGGGAGCAGAGGACCTCTCTCTTCTCTGGGTCTCCCACTGGATCACAGCCTCCTCCAGGCATCCACCTGCTCCAGCATGGGCATCTCCCCCATGGGCTGTGGGCAGATCTCTGCATCCCCCTGTGGATCCCCATGGCCTGCAGGGGGACAACCTGCTTCATCATGGACATCACCATGGCCTGCAGAGGAGGCTGGGCTGGAATACCTCCTCCCCCTCCTTTTCCACTGGCCTTGATGTCTCCATGTTCTGTCACATGTTCACACCTCCTCTGACTAGATGCAAAAACTT